AGGCAGGAGACCAATCATTCATTAACAAGTCTGACAAAACCCATCTGTTGTCACCCCAACCTGGATTCACAGAGATGCCAGAATTCCTGAGAGTCCCAGGTCAGTGAATGGGTGGAGGTTGGTTGAGCCCTGGAAGAATACTTTATTTATCTCCATAGTGTTCTTTGCTCCTCACCAGCTCTCTGGTGACTCCTAAGCTGGTAAGGTGTCTAGTCTGACCTAGTGTCGTTTTTGTTGTTACAGAATGTGAATAGAACTAACAAGCAACCCTCCACATGTGGCTGTAGAGATGCTCTTCTATGCAAAGAATATTAAATCCTAACATAGTGAAATGGGACAGAGTAACAGCTCTTTCCAGTTCAACTTTTTGATCTCTCTTTTAAATCATTAACCATTCACAGATGCACTGAAAGTTTGCCTGGGAGATGACAAAGGACCACCACTCCCCATTCACAAGCACAGGAAGCCAGAGTGCATCAGCAGAAATACATGCTTGGAGAGAAAATCCAGTTCCACCAAGTATTAGCATTCACCTGGATGTGAACAAGATTTCACATTTGTTTCTGGATAGTTCTAATGAGTCTTTTGTCTAGACTGAACATTCATGGGTGCACTTTGAAACACACAGACAATTTTCCCAAAAGAAGGAATAGTCACTGAATTTAAAAGCAACTTCACAGCAGTCTATTCACCCTGCCTTCACCCTCTGCCTGAAAAAATGACTCAGGACATTTATATCTCAAGACTAGGGTTGCATCAGAACTATTTCTGTTGACATATAATCATATGATTTTATACATCAGAAATGCTCTTTAGTCCCAGATTAGACACAGTCTTTCTCTTATAATTTAAGTAGTTTTCAATCTGCAAATTTCATTTTGGATTTTTTTTTAATAAAAAAAGGAAACAAGAAAACCCTACATTTTACTCAAGCAGTAACTGAAGTCAAAAATTGACATTTCTCAGAGAGTGGTGAAGCACTGGAACAGGTTGCCCAGAGAAGCTGTGGATGCCCTATCCATGGAAACATTCAAGGCCAGGTTGTATGGGATTTGAGCAACCTGTTCTAGTGGAAGGTGCCCCTGCCTATGGCAGGGAGGTTGAAACTAAGTGATTTTTAAAATACCTTCCAGTCCAAACCATTCTATGATGCTTATTCTACCTTTGCTCAATGCTACAACTTCTTCACTTAAAATAACAGCAGTGTCAAAGAAAGAAAGAAAAATCTTAAACATAACTACATATTTAAACTTTGCTTCTGCAGTTGCTCCAGGTCAGTAATACACCATATTTGGAGGAATTTGGGTGTAATTGAAGCCTTCTGGGTTTCTTAGTGTGTGTGTATGTGTCTCAGTGTTACAAATTCTGCATCTCTAGAGGTGAGCAGACACCATGTGCCACCTACTTTGCATTTTTCTTTAGAGGTTTGACTTATTGAGAAGTAAGCTTAATGCAAATAAAATGACTTTCCCCTCCTGGCACTTGGCAGTCATACAGAAATGTAACAGAGGAGCAGACTACCTAGAGACACTTGCTTCTCAGAACTGTGTTCAGAAAGAATAGCAAGCATTTAAATTCAAAATGCACCATCTGTGACAACCCCTAAGCAGTACCTCATTTCAGTAAGTACAAGCCTGGGAATGAAAGTGAAACTGTACATAACTGTCAATTAAAATAATCTAATATAGATTTTCTGCTTTTGGGGAGAGGGTGGGTATATATTTTCTGGAAGCCCCCTCTGTTTCATTTCCTTAGCCTAAATTTTACAGTTCAGGAGAATGGAATCACATCTGTAGCCAACATATATTACACACCACATGGGAGAAAAGGTGCTGGAAAAGGCACTATCATTGAGGATCAGCTCTCAGCAGTTCATATCCAAAACTGGTATAAGATAATATCAAACTTCATATCAAAATTAATTTTAAAACAATATCTAAGAGTGGTTTTCAATCAGAAATAAGGTATTCACCATTCTCATTTGGGAAATCTAAAATACTGTATCTTAGACAGTTGTATTCAGCAATGAAATCCAGAGAGTTTCTGTCAGTTCATTCAGACCAGAAATAAACAGAGAAATGGCAGCATAGACAAGTTAAGTAGAAACACATGGAAATTCCTGCTTGCCCAAGCACTATGTATTTTTATATACACTATATATTGGCTGGCTACACCTTTAGATTTACAGGATTTAAATCAGATCAGAATTTGGTCCTCAGAGTATTCAGCAGGCAATTCTGGGAAAGTGTCCAGAAGAATTCAGTTAGTGAGCATGAAGACTCTGTCATTTTATATGGTATAAGTTGCTGACTGAAAAAAAAAAAAAAAAGTATTGTTAGGTGGTAAAATTACAGTTTTATTTCTTATTGAATTTGGAGCTACGCTGCAAGCTGTAAAAAATTCCCAGCTAATAGGACACTGTGTATATTTACTGAACCTGGAAAATGCCTTTGGGACAGCAGCTCTCGATGCTGCCGGGATACTTTCCATAGGCACTGAACTACAGCTGGATGTATGTGAATACCAAGTGTGTTTCAAGGCCTTCCATTTTATTGCTACTATTTTGTAAGCCATTTTGCCAACTGAATGTGTATGTGGTTATTTTAAAATGTAAAAACCTGAAAGGTATTTTAAATATTGTTTTATTAACATTCAGGTGTTAATCTATGGTTAAAATAAGGCAATAGTATGGCAATAGTTCAAGCTCTACTTGCCTTCATATCCTGGTTTCACCTCAGATAAAATTAGTTTTCTTCTTAGTAGAACAGAGCTGTGTTTTGAATTCAGTATGAGAATAATGCTGATAACACACTGATGTTTTGGCTGTTGCTCATTAGTTCTTATCCTCAGGTAAGGACTTCTCAAAGGCTCGTGCTCTGCCAGTGAGGAGCTGCACAAGAAGCCAGGAGGCAGCATGGCTGGGACAGTTGACTCAAACTGGCCAAATGGATGTTCCAACCATAGAGCATTGGGCTCAGTATAAACAGGGGGGATTTGGATGGGAAGGGCTAATTGCAGCTGACTGGCTTGATATCAGTCAGGGGGTGGTGAGCAATGGGGTTATGCATCACTTGCTTTTCTTGGGTTTTATTTCTCTCTCCCATTTTCATTACGATTATTATTACTGTTACTGTAATTACACTACTAGTATGTTTTACTTTGTTCCTATTAGTAAACTGTTCTTATCTCAACCCACAAGATTTTACTTTCCCCTGATTGTCCTCCCCAGCCCACTGGGGGAAGATGGAGTGAGTGAGCATCTGCGTGGGACTTAGTTGTAACTTGGTTAAACCACAACACTTGGATATACAGTCCCACCACAATCAAAATCTGGTTGCAGAATTGGACCACAGCAGTGAGAATGCCTTTCTGTGTATGCCTTTAGAGTGAATCATTCCTTAATGAGAGCCACCCCTGGGCACAGCTGTGACTACACCATCAACCCTGACATCTCTCTGTAACTCTTTCTTCCAGGTATTCTTTTCAAGATGAAGAAGACATGTTTATGGTGGTTGATCTCTTACTCGGAGGTGACCTGCGTTACCATTTGCAGCAGAATGTCCACTTTAATGAAGGAACTGTTAAGCTGTACATTTGTGAGCTGGCGCTTTCCTTGGATTATTTGCAGAGATACCACATCATTCACAGGTGGGTGAATTTCATTTGAGGGATGGGCTGCTTGCTTTTGGCAGAGCAGATGGATTTTATCATATAACTGATTACCTGGTTCTGTTTATTCAAAATATCTGAAAAGTTTCTACTGCTATCCTATGGTGGAATTTGGCTCTGAAAAGGGGGGTTTTAAGTGTTTTGCTTTGTTTTTTTTTTCTGTTCATGGCCATTCAGTGGCCTTGTATCCTTCTCATATTACCTTTTTCTTGTTCTGATCTCATACTCTGAAATGTATTTTAACATATAACATGTAAAAACAACATGTTTATAACATATATATAACATGTTGTTATATATATAACAGCATCCTGGCTGCTTTTAATATATTTTTAATTTTCCGGTGTCCCAGTGTTCCTGAACACAAAAGCATTGTACAAGAGCTTGACACAACAACATCAGGGAATGGTCGTAGAACCAAAGGCTAAGAATAATTTGTTTACTTGCAGAATCTGCATGAAGATCAGGAGGAAGAGAGGTGGGGATATGGAAGTAATAGTACAAATCAATTGGGGCATTGATAGATGGTGCATTCTTTGTGCACTTGTGTTACAACAATCTGTTATTTTTCCTGCCTTACAGTGGCAATCGGAGTATTCATTTCAAAAAAGGTGTCAAGAATCAGGATCTGGTTTTTTTTCCTTAAATATTTTGGCATTTAACTGAGGCAGAAGGGATAACATCTCTTTTTTGTGTTAACACAATAACTGTAAAATTATAAAATTACTGTCTTGAGCCTTTATTTTACTCTTTCTAGGCTAAATTCAGTATTATCCTTCATGATTTACAGTCATCAGTATAAAAAAAGAATTAGTTTCGTGTGCTATCAAACCTGGATGTGACTTTCAGAGACCAAAATAAACTAAGTTGTGCCATAGATCTTCCAGTGCTGAGTATAAACAGGTTCCTTCAAATATATTAATTGAGGGTTTTAATCCCATCCACCTACCATAGCTGCCTCATGACTTAGCAATAAAGATCATATGAAAAGTATTATCTGACTTGCTGAAGAGGGATGGCCCACAGAAAATCACTCTGATCAGAGATGCAGTAGGTAGGTGTTCTGTGTCACTGAAACTGTGTAAGACAAAAGTCCAGAAAACATTGAATCATTTGTTCTGCTTGCAATTAAAACTCCAGCAAATATTGCAAGCAAATTCTGGAGTTTTGTATCCTTATTGCACTGTTATTATTTCAATATATTTCCATATATTTTACATAAATTTCCTTTCTTGGTTACTATTTTAAAAGTGGAGCTCAGGATTTCAGATGACCTTTGTTTCTAATGCCTTAGGGAATGTTCTTGGTGAAAAACAAATTGATGAGCATTTTTCTTACCTTCATTTTAATGTCGAGACACTTTATGCAAATAGGGCTGGCAAAACATTCATGAGAGAATCCAGTTTGTAATCAAAACTTGTATTTTACTAGAAGTCTGTGGCTTAAAAATGTCACAGAAAATCATGAGAAATAAAGAAGATATCTTGAAAGAATGAAGGATTGAAGTTACTGTGGTTGTTCATAGTTTTTGTGGCAGTCTCTGCCTTACCATGATTCCACTATGAAACTGGGCAAACACTTTGACCTCTTCTGTATTACTTAGTCATGACAAGTCAACACTAGACTTTACTTAACTTTTTCTTTCACACAGGTTGTAGTGACTTATTGATTTGCAGTGAGGCAGGGGAAGGCATGAGAGTCTGGAGCTGGTTATTGTCTCCATTTGGGGGCAAGTTCTGGGGTTTGGTTTTTGCTTTCACTCTACACCAAAAGTTTCAACAAAAACAGATGTGCAAAAATACCTCTCTGTCAGCATGTGGAGGGTCTCACTGGCTGGTTAGCTGGGATTGTTGTTTAGGGTATAAAAGATGTGATTCAGGACTCTGCTGCATTGTAGAAGAGATGTTTATTTTGAGGCTGTCAGACCTGAGATCTGTTCCACTTCACTGCTTACTGCCCAAATCACCTAACTGTGGCACAAGGAGACTTTTGTGTCATCTTCCCACCAATTATCACAAAATCCCAGATGATCCACACACCAGTGAACATGTTATCTAGCCAGGTAAGTCCCAGAACATTCTGCCTTCTATCTAGCCACCACCTGGAACAGCAGCCTGTGGGGTGGGTCTTCAACTGCCTTAAATCTCTGTAGCATGTCTGGCATCAAGCGTGCAATGCTGGCTTAAATTGGTTCAGGAGCAGAGCCAGCACAGTGAGGAGACATTACTTTATCACTTCAAACACACCATTTTGTTCAGAGATAAAATCAGTGAGCTGGTTGGTGTTTGCACTTTGTGGTAGCACACCTCAGCAATATCATCGTTACCAGGTGCTTCCAGTCAGCATTCACACACTAACCTACAAAACCGTATTGGGTCTTCCATTTTAAAATGAATGCATTGTCAGCAAAGGGGAAATAAATGGTTAGTGAGTGAGGGAGTCATTGAGAAAGCCCCCTACTAAATTTTGCCTGGGCTATAAAGAAAAAATAGTCTAATGATTCATCAGACTGGATCTTCAAATTGGAGTACTATAAAGAGCTGAATACATGATGTGTGAATCAGGAGCTTAACTCCTCCTAGTATTTACAGATGTGTATGAAGTGTGTTCAGGTTTCCATTATGATTGCATTTGACAACACAACAGAATGGGTTCTCCTCTGGCCTCAGGAGTTTGCTACCAAAGGAAGTCGTAATGAAGGGGGTAAGAATTATCAGGCATGAATGAATAGATGAAGAAGCTTAAAGACCAGTACTATGCCATTCCCCTTGGAGACACCTTGCCATGCTTCTGTGTTTGCTGATGTGCTTTAGTGGTGTGTACTTTGAATGTGGCAATCATTTCAGCAACAGAAGTATTGTTCCTGCAGGGACAAATTTACCCATAAATAGTGTAAAAACTCTACTGTTCTGGTGTATTTATGAAACTTGTCATTTTTATTAATCACATCCTTGCATACAAAATCCATATTTTTCATGCACAGTCTTGCAATAGTGCATTTATTTATTATGGTACAATAATGAATGCTGCACTGTGTCTCACAGCTCTATTGAAAATATTTGCATGTACACAGATGTTCAGCTGGAATTATAAAAACTTAAAAAAGAAAAGCTAAAGTTTCAAGCTATTATTTGAAGACTCTTCTGGGCAAATTCTTCAATTAACTTATACAACAGCTCACTTAATGTTGAGATTGTTGGTCACAGGTAATAGCTACATCACAAAACCTTATTTTCTCACAGCCCTGCTTTAATTATATTTTATCCACATTTCTTGCATGGAAAAATAATTCTTTGAAAATTGGATGAATGGTATTTATTATAGACCCTTGAGTCCCAGTACACTTAGAAATCCTTCTGACAATATACATAGTCTCACACATTCTCAAATGTTGGATCAAATCCGGCATTCTGCCATCTCAAGATGGTAGGACTAAACACATTTTTCCAGAACCGCTTGTATAATACCAGCGAATAATGTGTTGGACAAAAGTTTTCCCATCAAAGGCTGAATAAACTTATTTCAGCCATGAGTAACTCAGTCTCCTCCTTTCAAAATGTTGCTGTTCATACATTTCAATAAAACCACCTGCTTCCTCACCAAAGTAGGCTGCCCATTCCCATTCAGCCGGCTCTTCCGGCAGTGGCTCCAGCACTGCCTCTTCCAGGATGCTCTTGCAGCAGAGCCTTGGCTCGGAGCAGTGCTGGCCCTGCAGTGCTGCGGCTGCCGCCCTGGTAACACGCTCCTGCTGAAAAAAACCCCACATTTTCACTTTCTAAGGAGACAAGTGTTAACTGCACTGCCCCTATGACTTTTCATCATCGTTTGGCTCCATTGGTTTTCATCTAGCTTAGAAAGGAGGCTGGAGATGTGGCAGATGTCTGGATAGGAAATTGCAGTAACCTTCCAGCACAATTTTAGGATACTGGACTAGCTGCTCTATGTGCCCTTGACGCTTTTATTTCAGTGAGGTTTTTTAATGCAAAACCATTTGTGTGCGTATGTGTACAAATATAAGCATACATAAAAATTTTTGTTTGAAACACAGTATGACTGGAATCAGTCAGACTTGGCAGATCCGTGCTCTCTGCTACTGTGATCACTGCTCTGTTTTCCATTCCTGCAAGTTCTGTTTCCATTGGAGAGTAGCACCAGGAGCTATTCCAGCTCTGAATAACTCAGAAACAGTGCAGGGTGGGCAAAAGCTAATGGAAAATGGTAAAAAATAGAGCAGTGTGTTTTCCTTTACCAGACAATCCACTGCAGAGTAATGGTGTCTTGTTGCTACCAGCTAGACAAGATGTACTTTTGTTCAGCACTAGACCTGTTTATTCATTATCACTGAGCCTTTCAAGTTGTCCAGACATCTGGTGAAATAAGATAATATATCTAAAAGATTGAACACTTTAAAATGGGCCTTCCCAGTCTCACTTGTAACACCGTACAGCAAGAGAACAAACTTTACTTAAAAATCTTCCCTTCCTAACCTTGTCCATTTAGTATGTAAGCAGTAAATAGGTTTGAAAGTTACTTGAAAATGGAAAATTTGCCCCTTGTTGTTTTTCACAGGTGTCACAGGCAGAATAGTGCCAATCTGAGATTTGATTTGATATACCAAATAAAACACAGTTCTTTATAGATTTCTGCTCGTACTAGTAGTTTCTTCTTGCAGCAAGTCTATGCAGATGAAGAAAAAAATGTAATAGGGTCTGAAATGCATGAAACAGGGAAAAAATAGCCATAATATGACTACTGTTCTTAAGCAGTACCAAAGATCATTACAAGTCAAGAGGCCTGTCCATTAATTTTCTCAGTTTGTCTTCCCATGTCTCTTCCATGGCATTATATTATGTTCTTTAAACAAGTGCAAGCCCACATTATTTCCAAGGACAAATTGCAGGAACTGAGCAGTAAGTTACATAAGAGAAGTAAATTAGAAAACATATCAAAACTAGTCAAAAAAGAAACAACATGCAAAT